TGCATCTTCAATTATTAGAAAAAGATTAGTAGATACATAAGTATTTTAAAGGATTTTACCCTATTTTTGCTTGGCTACAGTATGTAGAAAAAAATATTCTAAGTAATACATTATTACTTAGAGTACACAGAGGTTGGTAGTACTCATTATATTTGCTCAATTACATTTACTTTTCAGAGTACTTTTCTAGAAGCTTATTTTTACTCCTACTTGAGTAATATTGAAATACTAATGCTCTTCCTTGAGTAAAAGTTTTGATTACTCTTCCCACTGTGAGTAAGCGACAAAAGCTTTATACTGACACGGCAATATTAAATGATTTCAACACTTGTGTTTAGAGCCCGACCGATATATCGGTTGGCCGATATTATCGGCTGATATGGGCAACTTTAGGCATATCGGCTATCGGCCGATATGCTTGCTGATAGGGGCCGATATTTCACGTGGGCATGTTATACCTCGTTATAAAGCTTAGACTCTCTACATTCTGTTCATTTAATCCAATTTACAGACAGATAAATGTCCTAATATGTAGCTCCACATCAGTATTTATCTACGGAGTCATTTGTCTGTGTGTGTCCGTACTGTCCCTGAACACACCACAGAGTCACGTCACTCACGTGTGTTTGTTTACACCCGCAGACACAGATCCAAACACTGAGATGATATTCTTTTTACGGACAATCGGTTTGAGTCTGGATTAAAAGGACATTTATTAGTGCAGATTTGTGATGTGAGGAGGAGCCTGTATGAGCGGTGAGTGTTGGAAATATGTCGACTCTGAAGCTAGTTTTTGTCATTTGTTATGGGTTAGCTGCTGTAGCTCCCGCACATAAACAGACTGTTTTCTATTGGTCTGTTCTAAAGTGACTATATTGGCCGTATATTTGCTACTGGACCTGCACTGATATGTAAATGAGCTGTGAATAGACGTGTGAATTATGACATTTGCGCATATAATTAATTACCGCGGCGCGCACGTATTTACGGCTAAAGGCTAATAGAGCTACTTTCTTTACTAGTTATGGGTCCGTCGCGAACGAAATGACTCTTAGAACCGGCTCTTTAAAGGGAACGACGGGAGCCTGATCCTTATTGGGAGCCGTGTTTTCTCTTTCTCTCACTTTTTTTCTCTTCGCGTGCAGATTCGTGGTTTGACAGCGGCAGCGGCTAAAAACGAAACTTTGAGAAATTTGCGTGTACGTAGGATTAAAAAAAAAAAAAAAAAAAAAGAGCATATTTGACTGTAGTTTAGCATAAAATAAATAAGTCCCGGTTTAGTCCTTTTTCAGTCCTGGTTTAGACCTGGTTCAGTCCTGATTCAGTCCTGCTTTAGACGTGCTTTAGACCTGCTTGCAACAAAACAATCTGAAGAGCCGCTTGGGAGCCAAAAGAACCAGCAGCTTTTAGTGAGCCGAGCCAAAAGAGCCGGTTCTCTAAAAAGAACTGGAATACCCATCACGAGTGTCTAGAATGTGATGCAAAAATGCCATTAAGTCAACCTACTGTCTATGAATATGATGTAAAGAGGCAGAATAACAATAAATGTTGCCTAAATAAACCCAATTTAAAATCCACAAGAGCCAAACCAAAGTTTTTTAAACAATTCAACATTTACAGTGAATTTTTACATCACTAAATATATCGGTGATTATATCGGCTATCGGCAGCTCCAACTTCCATTATATTGGTTTCATATCGGCCACAGCAAAATCCATATCGGTCGGGCTCTACTTGTGTTTTTGTACCCCACCGACAGACAAAACTGAAGGTGCACAGGTATTTCCTTTGAAAATACCAGATTTTGTGCATGACTTAATATTTTGTTCTTCAAATTACAGATGTTACATCCAGACAGTTACTCAGTAATTTCTTGGACCACTACTTTGTACTTGTACGTCAGAAATGAGTTTCACAAGTAACTCATTTCTACTTACCTGGGAGTGCACAATAGTAAGAGCCCTAAGTAGAACAGTTTGTCATTGTAAACTATATTGGTGAAAGCTTTAGTTGTTATTGTTATTTAGTTGTAGGTGTGTAATAAAATGTTCCAGGTTAATGTGTCATTGTAATCACACTTTGATCCTAACGTACAAGCAAATATTTTTCATGATTACCTGTTCTGTGTAGCAGTATGTATTTGAAGAGTTCATTTCCAAAAACAGAATGTGCCATTTTAGTGCCACTGCAATTTACTCTTAGAAATGTTTTTAAAAACTATATTATACTATATATATATATATATATATATATATATATATATATATATATATATATATATAATAAATTTTTATGCACAATGATATTGTAAAAAATTTTATATATTCATAAGGTGGAGGCTTTAATATAAGCCCTATTTGATTTTTTTCAGGCACCTACTTTTTATCTAGTGTATTTCTTTTTATTGTCATGTTATATGTGCAAAATAAATAAATACAAAATAAATACATAAATAAAAATACCTCTCTATTGCTGATAGTTAACAGCTTGCAATAAATTTGACCTATGAACTAAAGTAGTAACTAGGGATGAATCAATCCATCTTTTTGAGTTCAGATACTGTAGCTTTAAGTATCTGCCAGTACCCAATATCAACCAGTACCACTGGAGTGACTGAAAAGAGCATTTATTTCCTTAAAACAAGACAAAACTGATCCAAATGTGTTATGTAGCTGTTATTTATCTCTCAAGTAACTGCCAAACTGTGTTGCGTAAATTAAAATTCAAACATTCTGGACCAATTATGACTGGCAAATCTTACATCTTATTGCATCTTATTGCATAAATCTTTATGTCCAACCTTTATATCAGCTGAATCAATATTTGGAATACCTGATCCAGCAAATTTTCAGTATTGGTGCTGATACCAGTATCTGATCGGTGCATCCCTAGTAGTGGCCATTGATGAGAGCTGCATTGAAACATGAACATGCAAGTTTATTGGCTTTTCCCTATCTGACTCTATCCAACTCTAAATGTACGACACTCCTGAGCAAACAGAACCTAAGGTGTTTCTAGACACTGTGACTGCTGCTGTTGCTGCTGTGGATTTAAATAGTTTAAACTGTAATGTATTTGCTCACATATTTTCTACACTCCCACATCTAATCCAAGCCAGAAGGACAAAAGCAACATTGATGAGAGAGACTCTTATGGCGTACAGGACTGGGCTGTACATGAGTGAATACACTGAATTGGTGGCTTCGTGTCCCATATGTTTATATAGGCAGGTGTTACTGAGTGTGGAAAAATGTGTTTTAAAGGGGTAGATGTAGTAGTAGTAGTAAGTAGTAGTAATAGACTTTAAGATAAGATTACTTTCAAGGACAGTAGGAGAATAACAAACATGCAATCAAATAAGGATAAATAACTATAATATATAAAATCTAACACAACACTATGACAGCAGAGTTAAGTTA